TACGGTCAGCAGTGTGGCCTATCCCTCAGAACTTGAATTTGCTGCTTGTGGTCTTACCGCAGTTAAACCGATCTGCTTGGCATAGTAGGACCTTGAGGGACGATTGTTCCTACCGGTATGGCCCGATTGGTTCATCACGATAGGCAAGCCCGACCACCACGTCAAGATAGCAGCAATGGTCGGGAGGTTACAGGATAAAAAACATCGTTCATTGCAAAATATTTTGTTGAGACCTGTTTCAGAGTTGATGTCAAGTCAGCCTTTATAATGTTATACAAGTGTTTCAGGGCTTATGCTAATATTGACTGTAGCCATAACCATGCGAAAACTAAAACTCACTTCATCTGTTCAAAAACAATATGTTCTTACTCTTACCCTACCTTGGTAGTATTTTTTTATGCAGTGCGGTTTTCATATTGTGTTCTTTGTTATTGTCTTTGTCTTCGTTCACCTCATTTGTCCAGTTGACTTTTTATTCTTTCATAAACAATGCTTTATTAAGTAGTACCTGTTGTCAGATTGTTCGAAATGTATTTGACAAGTACATCGCGTATTTCTAATGACCTTCGTCCTCATTTGTTTATCAAGAAGTAGTCCATTTTGTTGATTGATTTTCTTCTTTCACAGTAACTGCGATTGAAAATCTGGGTTATTCATACTTATCTTAAAAATCATCGTGATTCCATTCTTTAGGCTAAACAATACATATGTTGTCTTATTGTGCTAGTAAAGTTGTTTGTAATTCTTGGTGTCACTTGTATTTTTGGTACTAAGCAAACTTCTAACGCTGATTCATTTTGATACTATAATTATGTATGTATCTTACAGGTGGGTATTTTACTCAAAGGACTTAAGTACAATACGTAACGTGCAGCAGGAAATATGCTTTCTGGAATTATCTTGTGCAGGAGAATGTTCAAGTATGCTTCAACCATCCAAGTTAGTTTTTTAGAAACTTGAGTCATTTATTCAGGTCTGCAATAGACATGTAAGAGTTCAGTGGTGGCCGACGTTGGAAAATCCATGGGCCGAAGACTCTTTGGCTGATAACGATCTACTGAAGAGAAAACCAGTGGATTATGAGATTAGTCAAGCAGAATATGTATGGGTAGAAAAAATCTTGAAGAACACTAAAATCCCGTTTCCTAAAAATATTGTGGCTCCTACTCCTAGTGGCTGGATACCCCCAATCCGTATGCAAGCATTACTTTATTTTTAATGCTTTAACTTCTCACGAGACATTGCAACGAATTTCAAAGTCTAGATGATTATTTCCAAGTTCTTTTTGTCGTAGCAATAGTTTTTCGAATTATTTTTACTGCCTACTAAAGTCGAGTAGTGGACATAAGTTGACATGAATAAGTAGGCGGTATCACGTGTCAGTCAGTTTGTAGAAAATGTTTTGCAAGGTTTATGATAACAGTTTAAACTCCTAAAACAAATTAAATTCCACTTATTCATTGATTATCAATTGTCATATTGATGAAGTGTGAAAAGATACTACAAAATGGTGTCTGTTAAAAATGACTACTCAGTTTTCCACCAAGCATGACAAAAGCCATCGTGATTTGTATTGTGCCTAAAATATGTTTACGTTTAGGTGCTATCTAAAATCTTTGTTTCAGACGTTGGAATATTGTTGCGAATTGGACTTTCCATGCTATATAGTCCGACCCATCCTCAATCGCAGTTCTTCAGTGCCACAATCGTTCATACACATAAGCTAGCTATCTAAATCAAATTTGAGATTGCCAAAATCTAATAATGTTAATTGTTTTAAAGCTATACGTCCTCAATAGTTGTCAGGAAACAATTGCACTGATACCATGTTAGATTACACTTGATCATATACGTATTTAGTCTAGACATTAATTTTTGTGATGATTACTGATATTTCACAGTTCCTTGAAATCGGGAAATATTATCGGGACTTACCAGATTTTTATTTGAAACTACTTCATCCAAGTATTTTAACTTTAATAAACGTATGCTGTAAAAGTTCAGATATTTTCTGCTAGATGATGAGTCATCCGTACGGAATTCTTAGTAGCAACCACTTATCCCCCGCTCCATAATATTAAGATTTAGATCAATCAATCAACTGATTTAATCTGATGACTGACATAATGCTAAGTGGATTACGAGAGCCCGACTCCTTGATCGGTTACAGCAATACAAATAAGAAATTCAAATACCGGTGACTAAAACCTCTGCATTTGTGCGTAGTTTAGTGGACCTTCTGGATGTTAACAACAAGTAATGCCTACTTTAGAGGCTTGAATGCATATGCATGCAATTCTGACTGTCCATACTGTGTCATTCATTGATCCCCAGTAAGGCCTTCCGTTTGTGACAGCATCGAGGGTTGGTAGTTCATGCTAGCATCCCTTGGTTCATCTGGACCCTTCAAATGAAGCCATATGGATACTACAGTTCATTGGCGAGCCAATATCAAATATGAAGCAAAATCGTATTCCCGTTTATAAGGATTACTTCGAAGAAAATCAACCTGAACGTGATCGTGCTTTCATTTGAACCGTATCATCTACCAGCTTTATCACCCGATTTACCACTTCCTGACAGAAATATCATTTTGTTTTATGTAAAGCACATCAGTTTTTTTAATCAATCATCTTGTAGGAAGTATATGCGATAAACGCTAAGTGGTATAGATTTTAGGATTGATATTGTTTCTTCCTCCATCATATTTTATTGGTAAATATTGTACACCTCCTCTTATGCTTTTTCCTACTAGCTGAACTATCAAAGGATGTACCCTACTCTGTCCGAAGGTCGAAAAATCACATGCTACCTGTTTATTACACAGAGAAACAGAGAAAAGAAAAAGAGCATACACATGGGACTCGACAGCTGACAGTCATTAGACATGTTGATGGAGATATGCAAGTAAGTTACGCCTACATTTTAAAGTAATAAAGGTAGAGTTCAATAAATACACGAGTTATTGTAAAATGCTTATTATGCACTATACTCTCTATTTTACCAAGTGGTAAACTTATAAATCACAAACGACTATCAACCTCTAACCTTAGGGTAGGATTTTATTCCGTAGACTGCAGGCACTATGGCAGTGCAGTCTGTCATTAAAAGGTGTATTAAAAAAGTATATTACCCTTCAATAGGTTTGCTACTCGGGCACTACTGGTTGAGTCAGAACTTACAGTGAACTTTCATCAGAATTGTCAATTTAAAGTGGTTTTTGTCAGGGCTGTCCACTTTTATTTAACATTGTAAAAGACATTCTTTTGGAAATAACGCTTTCATCGTCCAACTTTTCAGGAAATGGTCTCGCACCAGAAGATTTACTTCACTTGGAATTTGCAGATATATTTCTGTTTGGTGAAAATGCTGACAAAATATGGAACCTTCAAACCATCTTAAGCAACAAGGCAAAGATGTTTGGGATATAATTCTCTTCCTTCAAATGCAAAATTTTACCTCAGGATTGACCTATGCCAGCGCTTGAATTAGTGATAGGAAGTAAAGTGATTAAGTGCGTCTCACCTGTCTTAAGATTCTCATCGATCCTGATGCGCTGGTGAATGATGAAATCTCGGTGCAGAATCAGAAACCTCGATTGACTTTTGCTAACTTTTGGCGTTGATGTGACATTCGTCTACCAAACAGAGGATGAGTTTACTGCTTATCAGTTCGTTCTGTTCTACATTATTGGTGTGGAACATTGTCACTAAGCGGATACTCGTAGTTTACCAGTATATGACCTTCGAAGCATCGTTTGTGTGTTTTTGGACAACTGAGTGAATAATGCCGAGATCGAAAATTGGTTGATGTGGTGAATCTTTATCAACGGAGGTAGTTGGAACATGTGCTCAACCAATGTCTATCTCTATGGGCGACGTTGTTTAGTATAAGGGTAGGTTGGGAGAAACTCAGGGTGGCACCATTCCATGAAGTTGTTGGCTTATGGACTCAGCAGTATCTGCTTCGGTCTGGGCACCCGGGTAGTATCATAGCCCTCACACAATTAAAATGAAATGACAATGGACTAAGCCATGTTAGTAAGTGTAGGCCACTTGGTTGGGGTCTGGGTGGTTGTGGTCACCAATGGATAAAGATTTTAGGTGACTGCTCAGAATCGTTTGCAATGGCGCAAATGCCTTCACTCCTTGTTTTCCTGAAACCCCCTTATAACTTTTTCTTGATGCCCAATCTTTTCTACCACTACTCCTGGATTTGTCTTGAAATAATCTAATCTCGCTGTGCTAATAGAATATGACAACTCGAACCGATGACCATATGTGTAAGGTTATACGTTGAGTATGACTAAGGTATTTCACATTTTCTTATTAAATAAAATAGATATTTTACAGCTCGTTTTTAAGAGGAATTCACCTCGAAAAATATATATACGAATTCTCCTGCATACTAAACACTACAAGCACTTTACGAAAATTGGTCTAATTTGCTTGCGTTTTCGTTATCACAAGGACATCTACTTGCATACTTCCTAAATTATAGATAATAAAAAACTACGGTATCTTTACATTAACTCAGGACAACATAAAATAGCTCAGGTTTTGCCACAGATACCTAATATCACATTACATAGTTAAAACAAGTTGTATGAATTTCTTAGCATCCAATCGTTTTAAGAGAAGACAGTTTTTGAAGTAAATCAATAAGTCAACTCATCTACTATAAACGTAATGAATCATTTATTCACTGATAAGCTTAGGGAATCGAAGTGCATTCTTTCTTTTGTTTACATGTTTATGAAAGAATGTAAACCATTTTTTACAATATTACAGGCCCTGGCTAATGATCTTCGGACGCTTCTTCAACCGAAATGCGAAGCTGGATTATTTCTTTGCCAAGTAGATGAAGCAACACGTTGTATAAAAATTGAAGGGTTATTCCAAGAAGAGGTAGCTAAATTTCTTCTCAGTAAGGGGTTTTGAGAGTTGTACAAAAGTAACCATGTATATACTAAATAAACAATGTTCTCGCTATACAAAATTTTATTCTATAACAGCTTCATCCCACGGTCCATGGATAGTCCTGTTAGGAAGAAACAAAATCAAAAATTTGTGAGAAATTGTGACCACACAATATTAAATTTTTTGTCAGGATCTATGTCGTTTACTGTGCTCGTGTCAGTGCAGTTTTTAATGGAGCACTTATTTTACACAGTAGCTTGTTTATATAAGCAAACCGACCCTAAACATACACAAGCATCATTGTGGAAACTAATGGTACTAGAATCATAATATACACAATAAAGGTCTCAAACGTTTACAATGACGTGACATTTTTTACCAAAGACTACTAAGTTTCTATTCAACCGATGTCAAATGATAGATTGTTTGTAACTGGTGCAGGATCATATGACAAGAAACTCATATTTTGACATGGAAAGTCTTTAGAAGATTAAGATACTGAATTTTGCAACGGCTTAACAAGTTATGAGTATTTAGAACTTGTAAGAAAAATAAGTTACAATGAAAAATGCAACTTGGGATTCGACATTTGATTGACTCACAAACCTTTTAATTTTTTGCATTCTTAATAAGTAACACGGTCCAACAAAATTAATACACAGAGTAGATGTTATGAGTGCACAAAGAAAGATGCATCTATATTCGAATGATACTTCATTGTAAACTATCGGCCAAGCACTCACAAGAATTGTAGAACCAGATAATATGGTTAAGCATATTTGTGCTCGATCACCTCCATTATTCTGAAATGCGAATAAAAGTCAATAACAATATAAAAGCGTTTTAGAGAACGTCTTTTTGTGCCATCTTCATGTATTTTGTGGATTAATTAGCTTCAGTGTATTAGAAACTACATTTATGTTGGTGTCACATGAATTATGGAATAAATGTATCTAATTGATTGCCCTGTATACTGTTTTTTCGTCTTTTGGGACATCGCAAAATTGATTTGCCTAATATTGAGTTGAGTAACTGAGGATGACCCATGGGTGGACTCGAGGAAGCTCAGAAAGTGCCAAAGACATTCTATCCAGTCATCCTTTGAAGGAACATTCCAGGATCTCTGCGTGTACCTTCCCTATTGGACAAATACTAAAAACCACTGTATACTGATTGGATAACTATAATGATGATTTCGCCTTCGTTAAAAACTATAAATACCTGGGAGTTTTGTACTACATTTGACACTTCGGAATAGCATCCCTTCTTACTCTTGTCTTCTCATTTGCGACTTGGAAGGTTCTAGCGTTCAAGTGCTCAAGTTGTACGCCGTATATCAAAGAATCTAAGTTCTAGACATAACAGTATCCAAATTTTTAACTATGTTAGCCAAACACTTCAATTATTTTCATTTTAGTATTTGCAGTATGAGTAATTCTTCGTCCACCACGTCGTACCTGTTGTTAAGCAGAATTATTGAAACAGAACGATTAAGTGGCTTTCTCAATCTAGGATTTGTAGTCTTCTTACATGTCAGCGTTAAGAAACTTATTCTACTAAAGTATGAACGAATTTGTGCAGATTTTCTAATACTTAAACGATATACACAATTTGCTTCACATAAAAACGCGTGAGACAATGTTTGGGACCTTCACTGTTTTGATTCGGTTATGCAACCGTCTATTGTACTATACGTATTAATATTTGTACATAAACTTCATTAAGTTAAACTAAAACTACAGTTCTAACTAAACTCACTACACGAGAAATGCTCTTAAATTCTCCTAATTTACTGGATTTTGAAAACATTGGGAGATGTGTCAAAAGTATTTTTGATTTCTGATAGACTATATAACAAAACCATATAGCAACTCTTACAATCAATCTCGATTATGATTAATTTTGTTTACGCCCTTTTATTAACTTAACAGACAATGTTATTTGAACAGTAACAATTCGCATATTTCTCTCTACTATTATGATCACTATCTTATCTGTATAAACGTCTACGCTTGGTCACATGACAGCCTACGCACATATCTCTTTCTAGCTTAAAGGTTGGTCGCTTAAATATCACTCGATGATTCGTATATATGTACTAAAATCATATTATTAGCCTTCGCCTTACCTATCTGCGCCCTATTAGATTTGACTATAAATTTGCCTCTGTATTCGCTTGCATACACAAATTCGCTCACTGCTTATAGGTTTGTGATCCGTGCTATCCGCTAATAAATCGTAGTTGCCGCTTCTCATTGCCTTCTGATTTCAAACACCATTGGGATTTATATAATAACGGTTACATAGGTGATTGATAAACGAGGCAAAGCCACTACAACCATACTTACCGATCACATACAACTGTAATCCTTGGTTTGAAAATTAGGATTCACTATGTCAAATAGGAAACCTTATGGAATTCTGAGAATGCGTACCTTGCTACTAAAGACGCTTCAATCATGATCACACAGTTGTATAGATGTTTTTATAAAACTCGTTGGGGCCTACAGACAACATAATTCTACAAGACTATCGTGAAAAAGTATGGCTTGCCGAATATCGGGATAGGATGTGAAAATGTTAACTATGGCGTTAGTAATTGAGTAATGCCACATTCACATTGTCCACCACTGCGCTGATGCCAGTTTTAGAGTGAAGAATGAAGTGGACGAATTTGTGAACCAGTCATAGCAGACTTATTGTGCGCGAAATCTGCATACAGAAACCTTTGGTGTTCACTAACATACCGTAGTTGTGCTACCCGCTAGATATTCTCTTGCTAATGAAAGGAAAATTATACTGTCCAGTAACTAGCTGTGCTCTGTTCTATGAATACGAAGCGCAGCGTTTAAGGGTAAAAATAATTAAGTGTATACTGCCTATCTGATTAAAATGTTTCTTTGGAGGATCAATCGTGTGGTGGGTCTACTGGATAAAAATTATTTAATTTAGTACCGACTGCAGTGAACGAATCATGTGTTAGTATGACGTTCTGGAAGTCTAAAAAGGGAGTAACAAGATTAGGAAGTGATGACTGTAAGGATGGTCAAATAAGGCTAAGATATATTAACCCACCAAATCGGTTATTAGTTTTATTCGTTTACACAAGTGTAAACACACTAGATATTTCAGGCTATAAGAATTGTTGATGCAAAATCTTAAAACATATAGGTTAAAATTATCAGCAGAGTTAGATGGTAGTCAGCAATGTAATCTAGAGCGTGTTTCTTCCCACTTGGAGCTCGTCAGTTGAATGTGCCTGCATCAGAGTTGATGTTCACTTCGGGACTTGAACCCAGCACAGTTCGCTTTAAACGCCACCGCATTATCTATCTAGCTGCCTTGTAAATCTGCTTATAATGCTTATGACTCAACGGCAATATTGAGGTGAACCGGACATATGCCAGAACAGACTGATCGGTTACCCTAAAGCTTATTTACCTGTGAAATCAATAATTGAAGTAATTTGGATTAGTCTATGATGTCTAATGCTTCACACACAGTTTCATCTGCTTGACCTATCAACATTTGCATTGAAATGATAAACATTGAAAATACACAATATGAACAGTAGCAATCATTTGAGACAAGGGTAACTGTACTTACGCGAAACCTTCTTGTTAATGCTGGCCATAATGCTAGTAAAGTGACGGCAGTGGAAAGCAATGCGAAAGTATGATAAGGGTCAGGTAAACGACTAGCCAAGCAGAGAGCAGCTAACAAAGCAGAACTCAGAGAAATAGTATTCGACCCAGGCTTTCGAGGATGACCTTTCCAATGAGTCTTATAATCAAAACATGTCCAATACACAAGAAGAAAAAAAGTACACATGGCGTATATAGAGTCCGTGCTTACGCTCGATAGGAGAGAATGCAGAACAGGAGCAAGCAGAAAGCAAAATGTAAAAAATACCATGCCCGACTTGATTTCAGGTATGACTGAAAGTAAAAATCATAAGTGATACATAACGACAACAGAAGGAAACTTCAGTACTCATATACGAAAGTATCAAGTGTAGTGATGATACTGTTAGGTTAGCAGTAAGGATATATCTCGAAATATTCAATGATTCACATCAGCTGTCTACTTAGATTAGACATTGGTTGACGCAAAAGCAGAGAAAATCGGTAAACTTCACTGAGTCATTTTTACGTGTAGTCGACTTCTTTGCATAGCTAAGTAGAATTTCAAAAGATCATGTATAATGCTTAGCATTATAGTCCAATATGTCTATTTTCGATTTAAAAGCTGAGATAATGCCGAAGATTTGACCTAACAACTACCTTAATCGATTACAGTGAGTGACGTACAAAGTGTTTTCCTTCAATTACCTGTGAAATTTTATTTATTTAATATTGATATCTCATATGTATGGATATCGACTTACTATATCAATGGCCACCTCATTTGCATAGTGGTCTTATCTTTGATTTCAAATCAATCGGGGACTTATGTCAATAACTCAATCTTGTGAGCAGCCATCACTCACCGATGTCATATATTGCTCATTAACTATCAATCAAGATTTTTTTCCCGTCAACTGACAATCGATGACTTATTGGTTAGATCACTGAAGACCTTCTAGATAAAACGAGTGTACTCAGACTTGCAGATTGGTTTTGTGGTCATAACTAGATATTTGTTCATCTTTCCAGAGGTAGGCTACATGTCACTCAGTAAATTAAACGCTAAAAGCTGAACAGTTTTCTGACTTGTAATCATATGTAGATCATCTGCTATTATCATCTATTACATTAATATTCCCTTATCAACAGGAAATTTATGTACAAACTAAGGTCACAAGGGGATGAAATGTCGAATTGTTAGTCCCGATCAGCTTAACCCCCATAATATAATAGATATTGAAGCACCAAGAATGAAGTGTTTCTCGTCACCATGAACCATTTAAGCCTTGTTAAAAAGCTACAATATTCCAGAGTAACATGTGGGTAATTAGTTAAATTCTAATTTGTCTTACAGTTTATAAGTATTTATTCATAAAACCTTAATATGTAAAATCGAACTTACGTGAAGCTAATAGTTACCTTTATGAAATTGTCTTTCATTTTCCTCTTTCATTGACCAAAACATGGCATATCCAATAGTTATAAACAAGAAAAGGTAAATATTGAGATACTGGGGAGAAATCCAGCCGAACAGTAGGTAAAAGTAGATAATTACAAACAAAGACAAACTGTAATAAAGTAGAAATGAATAAAGCCTACCAACAGAGTTGTTGATAAATGCTGCCGGCAGCGATTATGACATCACGTACTCGAAGTTTGGGTAGAAACACTATTTCTTGATTACCAAATAAATTAATTGCAACTAACGGTTTTCTTTAAATTCAGACAAGAAATCTGAATCTACATAATTATCAGGTAGACCACGATTGTTGTATAGACAGTTGTGCCACATTTTTGTGGGAGGAGCGTCATCAAACATAGTTGTTTACTCATCAATCTTTGCACACCAAAACGTCACTGACCGATACACATATTTTAATCACTCGGAGAATGCTAGAAGTGCAGTGGAAAGTATTTAAACTATAAAATTAGGTTCATGAATAAAGCCAATGTATAAGATAAAAACAACCGCATAAAGAACTTAATATCTGCAAACATGAAAAGGTAGAAAACTGTAAACCATAATTTACACGTGAGCTTCCACCACTTTTCTTGCTTATTTATAGCATATGTATTTTCTGATAAATTTGGGCACCGAAAATGATGTCCAACAAAAATGAACTGACAATGTTACGAAATAACGAAGTGAGTCATTCAGTCAAAAACTGGATAAACGAAAATAGTATTTGACGAAGGACATAGTTCATTTAAAAATACGGCCGAGAAAAATTTCGTTCAGTCGGGTGAGTTTATTTTAAAATTATTGAAGGAAGTATGAGAGAACTACACCAGAACTGCCACTGGTTTTATTCTGAGCCATGTCCGACACCGCTTGAAGCCACCCAGTTGAACCGCGTGTAGGACCTCAATCTGAAGGCCGTGGTGATTTAACTGATGTCATTCCGTTACAGCCTTCTTTCATACTCCGATGTCCTTTTATGAGCAAATCACTTTACTTTTACAACCAGTCTTACTATCGACAAATAAAACACGACCCAAAAGTCGTTGGGATGAAATTTGTATAGCACGATTAAACTATCAAAGTCGGATTTTTACGCTCACGACATTAGTTGAATGATCGCCACACAATGGATATTTAGGCGAAATATCTCATTGTCTCATCATCCTGGTTGAAAAGAGTGAATTTCGGTGGCAACATCAGAGAATCGACATCAGACTTTTTAGTCAGTGCCCCGCATATTTCCCAAAAGTCTGACTTTATTTACCTATTCTTTTTGCATGAGGGTTCAATATCTCACTGAAAATCCAGCAATCAAAACAATGTCAACTATTCTACCATGGTTTTAAAAAAAGAAATTTTACTGTTCTAATTTTAATAAGAATTATGCATTGTTATATCTGACGTATGAATATGAAACGGGATAATATTCTGGCTCTTACGAATACTAGACGCAACGCACAGGTCGGGTCTGGCGCTTTATGGTGTTTCAACTCTCAGTCATTAATGATAAGAATGGCATATCAAGTGACCTATGTTAAACCTTCCGACTCCCATTACTGTGAAGATTTAATATCCCTTCAAGTCGACGAAAAATGACAGCCTCAGTAATCTTCATTAGTTTGACCACAGTTATCAGTCCATTCTCGTTCAAAATCAAGTATCGTGAAACGGTCCTAACACAAGTCCAATAGGACCACAGCACTAGTTGCGCTGACTGATCAATAGTTAGTGATCAAATCTTTACACCCAGTTTCATAGCCGGACTCATTAATGCTTCTTCCTAATGTCTTGGCAGTTTCGACTGCTCAAAAGACATATTTACAGTATTGACAGTGGTCCAGCAAATAAACTTGTTGATGCTCCCACGATTCGAAGATGAATATCGTCAAAATCTCTGTACTCGTCAGGTAGTTGTAGATAAACTCCGTTCTCAATAAACACGAGACGATGCACTATTGTTGGAATAGATGTTTGTCGTTTCGCATTCGTCGGCGGAGAACACTGAAATATTATGGTAAAGTATTAACTCTATCAACAACATTATTTTCTAACTTCAGTGTGTTTAACTGATTCAGAGGTTGTAGGACTCAATCATTTCTCTGAGTTAATTCCATGGCAACCTTCTGGAACTTTTCTGCGAATACAGGACCTGTTCTTTCTTAAATGATAATACGGTCTTGCTTATCAGAGCTTTGTATATGTCCTAAGCCTCACGAAAATTGGTCCTCAACTTCTCATAGGATGCAAAATAAGCATTTGTAGTAGACTATATAAGTGGTTACATAAAAGTGAGTATGAAGAGAATTTTCACAATTGATTGATCACTGGGTGGTGATCAATGTCATGTGTGTCAAGTCCTTATTTCTTTAATAAACCTCCCGCGTTCATCATCGTTGACCTTCTCTAAGCTTTACATGTTGGAAGCAAATCTCAGCAATTATATGCTCAGCTCCAAAGATCTTGTGGTTAGGAATCAATACCACTACAAGTCTGAGTGTCTTGACGAAAATACATAAATTTATTTAATGGGATATAAAGTATGACTTGACAGTAGAATAAGATTTTGCATAGTAACAGCTATGAATAATCTAATTAAACCCCTTATTAAGAGCAGATCAAAGGCAGTATTTAGGAGTCATTATATTTAAACAGTGAAAATAAAAATGAGTCTGAAAATCCAATTTATGTAAATAGGTGAAATAAAAAGCTTCAAATCCCTTATTTAGAAATACTGGAAGATTAAGTATAAAAATATGTAAAAATATAAAAGATTTATGACGAGACCAGTCATAATAGTACCAATGATAATGCGAACGCAAGCAGAATTTGGATACTGGGTGAAAAAATCTAGATGCTCCATTTTGATCTACAGTCAGTTAAATAGGTGCGGAACGTTGTAAAGATTATTAAAATTCAATGAGACTCAGGAGAACCGGTGAATGACACTTACTTTCTAAAGTCTTATTAATTTGGCCGTCAGCCTCTATTTAGTTTCTTAGGCCAAGCAGATGATCTTTTAATCCTCCCATGAGCAAATTGTACATGTGGTTATGCAGATAATAGAAAAAGCTTTCATTTAACAAACTTCCTCACCTAGTATCAGTGTATAGTCTATGCCTTCAGGTAGGAACCCAGGGATTCTCAACATATTGAAGAGAGTAATGTGGCAAAATAAGTTGCCGAGTCCTTAAAACTATCACAAGTTTCTTCATGAAGAACTCCTGGGAAGCCACTCGAACCGTTTCAACCTTCAGGAAATTTCAGAATTTAATTATTCGTGTAGCGTAGTCCACTTTACACTTTGAAGTGTAGAAAGGAAGCTAACTGTTATCCGCTCAACCCTGAAATCGAGCCTGCTGGCTCATGATCCTGGTCGTAAACTCCTCGCCACAGTGTTACATCGTCAGTTATACGCAATAGCGCTGGCGATGCCTGCGAGGTAGTGTCATTTAGGTTAAAAAATAAAAGAGATCTTTGTACTTAGCCCTCGATGAACCCCATTAGAATACTTGCGATGACCATGTTTCAGACATTTCCATCATATTGGTATTATTAGCATTACTCATTTCACGCAATCCGTGGTTTTGCTGTTGTAAACTCGCCGCGCTCATATATAAGCAGTTAACGCTTTCGATTCAAAAAGCATGTGCGACATCGTCCTGTTCGCCTGAATGGAACTTGCACGTATGACCAGGAAAACTTCTCATACAAGATTTTCTGAATATGTAGTTTCTGTCTATTGCACGTTCTGTCAACTTGCTTTTCAGCATGGTCCTTGCATTATCTGGCCTGTTCAGATGTTTAAGGATTCCAGCACGAAAGGGACGGTAAAAGATACCCGTTCCCCTTGTTAACTGCACCACTTTTTGGACCAAGATATTCTCAGGCCTCAAAGACTGTTTTCTGAACTTCGACTCTTAACTACTTTAGACTGCATTATTGTGGTTCATGTTTCTTGGAATAACTTGGATAGTAATGTTCATTCCATGCAAGCATATCTCGCGAGATTCCATGAGGATTATCTTGTGAAACTGCCTTCTGAATGTGGAAAATTCTGCATTATCCCCATAGCGTTCCTAAATTTCTTAAAGTGACTGGATGTTAGGTAACCCCCCACGGCAACAGCACTAGTGAAGCTTACATGAACGAAGTTCGGATGATTTTAATGGTTTGTGTCTTCTTACCGTTTAAATCATATGACCCTCGAAGGTTCGATTTCCAAACGTTTTAGCCTGCCCCCTGATTTCCACTAAGAATTTCGTCATTTTCGTTCCACAAACTGAGAGGAATTTTGGAATAGTTTGACGCCGTTGATTTAATGACCGTATTGATTTTCTATATATCCTCATCAGTGTTGGCGCCTGCTCTACCGATTCTAGCATTGCCGAATATCTTGTTCCTTACCTAGATGCGAGCCTTTGATTGTTTATCTTTTTTCAAGCTATTTTCCTACAGGGTTGCATGCAATCGTAAGTAAAAAATAAGACGCCAGTAGTATTTAAGACACGTGTTGTAACAACCAAAATAACAATAGCCGGTTTGAACGTAGAACTAACGAACGAAAGTTTATTCGGTTAGGTCAGATGACGTTCTTCTGTATAGAGTACGGAGCGTTTTTGAGCGAATCATATTAAATTATATTCAAACACAAACTCTTTTTTTCAATTTAGACAGTTCTGATTTTAGAACGAGAATAAGCCATATCAAAAGTACCGAATATCTCGAACGACAAAACCTGAGCTATTCAGTAAAGGGTTTCTCTAATGCAAACTAATGTGCTGGTCAACAAAAGGAATAGGTAAATTACAAGAGTTAGATACCCGAGAATCAGTAAAAATACTATCAACAAGATGGCATCCGATATCTATCTACAAGGATTCTAGCAGTTATTTAGGGTTTGACAGTCATACACTGAACCATGCCGTGACCTTCAGTTTCGTCAAAGAGAAGCGCGTAAATGCCATTCAACTGCAGAGACGGTTTCAAGATAATTATGAGTGTGACTCACGAGCAGCATCAAAGAAGACAGCTTAACAGCGATCAGAAAGACTACGAAGACACCTTATTAAAGGGGGGGGGGACGATTGTGGTGCGTGCTACTTATATTGACATAAGTAGTATGTAACGCGAGTCAAGGATGTAATGTCTGGCAGCAGAAGATTGAGAAGATGAAGAAAGGAAGATCGGGAATAGAAAGCAATTAGTATAGAAATGCATGAACAATAAAGTCCGAGACGATTATTGAACATTTTTCAAATTAGGTGTAATAGTATTATTTATCTATTTTACCAAGTAACTATGTAATGTTGTGCTAAGTATAATTCGGTTGTCCTCACCTGTGTTCTACTTCACTACAC